GATGTGGTACAGGAGGACGTGGAGCTGAGTGGACTTGCCGATGACTGGTACCAGCGGTGTCAAGATCGGCCTCTGTGGAGGAGGCTCGTGAAGGATGCTACTGGGTAGTTGGAGGTAGTCGCCCTCCAACAACAACAGAGGTCGGAGGAGCGACGCTCAGAACAACGAGCGGAGCGCCGGGTGGCTAAAGCACAGCAGATTGGCACAGTAGGGGGCACAGGTGGTGCATCAGCCAGTCATCTCAGTCGACCCGTGGTGACGTCACCGCCACTTAGTGGCGAATAGCGGTTGTTGTTGTGGTGTGTGTATGTGATGTGTATTGAGTGTATGTGTGTGTATGTGGTGTGTGTGTATGTGGTGTGTGTGTATGTGGTGTGTATGTGTGTGGTGTGTATGTGGTGTGTATATGGTGTGTATTGTGTGTATGTGTGTGTGGTGTGTGTATGTGGCGTGTGTTGTGTGTATTTGGTATGTGTGTGATTTGCGTGGTGTGTGTGTATGTGGTGTGTGTGTGTATGTGTGGTGTGTATGTGGTGTGTATTGGGTGTGTATGTGGTGTGTTGTGTGTATTGGGTGTGTGTATGTGGTGTGTATCGGGTGTGTGTGTATGGTGTGTGTATGTGGTGTGTATTGTGTGTGTGTGGTGTGTGTATGTGGTGTGTATGTGTGTGTGTGTGGTGTGTGTATGTGGTGTGTGTTGTGTATTGCGTGGTGTGTGTATGTGGTGTGTGTGTATGTGGTGTGTGTGTGGTGTGTGTGGTGTGTGTATGTGGTGTATTGTGTATGTGGTGTGTATTGGGTTTGTGTATGTGGTGTGTATTGTGTGTGTATGTGGTGTGTATGTGTGTGTGGTGTGTATGTGGTGTGTATTGTGTGTATGTGTGTGTGGTGTGTTTATGTGGTGTGTTGTGTATTGCGTGGTGTGTGTATGTGGTGTGTGTGTATGTGTGGTGTGTATGTGGTGTGTATTGGGTGTGTGTGTGTGGTGTGTGTATGTGGTGTGTGTGTGGTGTGTGTGGTGTGTGTATGTGGTGTGTTGTGTATGTGTAGTGTGTGTATGTGTGTGGGTGTCTATGTGGTGTGTATTGGGTGTGTGTGTGGTGTCTGTATGTGCTGTGTATATGTGTTGTGTGTGTATGTGTGGTGTGTGTATGTGTGTGTGGTGTGTATATGATGTGTATTGGGTGTGTGTGTGGTGTGTGTGTGTGTTTGGTGTGTATTGGGTGTGTGTGTGTGGTGTGTGTATGTGGTGTGTGTATGTGGTGTGTGTGTGTGGTGTGTGTATGTGGTGTGTATTGGGTGTGTGTGTGTGGTGTGTATGTGATGTGTATGTGGTGTGTATTGGGTGTGTGTGGTGTGTGTGTATGTGGTGTGTATTGGGTGTGTGTGTGTGTGGTGTGTGTATGTGATGTGTTGTGTGTGTATGTGGTGTGTGCATGTGTGTGTGGTGTGTGTGGTGTGTATGTGGTGTGTGTGTGGTGTGTGTGTATGTGGTGTGTGTATGTGGTGTGTATTGTGTGTGTGTGTGGTGTGTGTATGTGGTGTGTTGTGTGTGTATGTGGTGTGTGTATGTAGTGTATGGTGTGTATGTGTATGTAGTGTGTGTATGTGTGTATGTATGTATGTGTGTATGGTGTGTGTGTATATATGTGTGTGTGTGTTGTTGTATTTCAGACATCCCGTCTTGTCGAGGGCACGGGGCTTCCTCACTGCTCGAGGGGGCACGGGGGCCCCTCCCGCAGGATCCCGCGGCCCCCCCTGACCTCGAGACCCCTGCGGCTCCAGGCGAGCACCCGGGCGGGAGTGTCTGCGGGCACGCAGAAGGCGAGCGACGACACCGCCTGGGGCGGCAGCGCCACGGCCCACACGCCCAGCTGGGTCAGCTCCCCCACGAACGCCTGCGTGGCGTCAAAGTGGCCCCCCAACACGTCCTGGTGAGACAGGGGGAGGGGGGCACAGAGGAGGATGAAGGGAGAAAGACGGCCTCCAAGTGCACCTAGCCTGGCACAAGCACTGGTGGTTTCTATCTGCGTGTGCAGATAGTATCTCTGTGCATCTCCATGTGTCTCTATGTATCTCTGTTAATCTCCATGTAGCTCTGTTAATCTCTATGTATCTCCATGTGTGTCTATGTATCTCTGTTAATCTCTATGTGTCTCTATGTATCTCCGTTAATCTCTATGCATCTCCATGTGTCTCTATGTATCTCTGTTAATCTCTATGTATCTCCATGTGTGTCTATGTATCTCTGTTAATCTCTATGCATCTCCATGTGTCTCTATGTATCTCTGTTAATCTCTATGCATTTCCATATATCTCTATGTATCTCCATGTGTCTCTATGCATCTCCATGTGTCTCTATGTATCTCTGTTAATCTCTATGCATCTCCGTGTGTCTCTGTGTATCTCTGTTAATCTCTGTGTCTCTATGTATCTCTGTTAATCTCTATGCATCTCCATGTGTCTCTATGTATCTCTGTTAATCTCTATGTATCTCAATGGGTGTCTATGTATCTCTGTTAATCTCTATGCATCTCCATGTGTCTCTATGTATCTCTGTTAATCTCTATGCATCTCCATGTGTCTCTATGTATCTCCATTTGTCTCTATGCATCTCCATGTGTCTCTATGTATCTCTCTTAATCTCTATGTATCTTCATGTGTCTCTATGTATCTCTGTTAATCTCTATACATCTCCATGTGTCTCTATGTATCTCTGTTAATCTCTATGCATCTCCGTGTGTCTCTGTGTATCTCTGTTAATCTCTATACATCTCCGTGTGTCTCTATGTATCTCTGTTAATCTCTATGCATCTCCATGTGTCTCTATGTATCTCTGTTAATCTCTATGCATCTCAATGTGTCTCTATGTTTCTCTGTTAATCTCTATGGATCTCCATGTGTCTCTATGTATCTCTGTTAATTTCTATGCATCTCCATGTGTCTCTATGTATCTCTGTTAATCTCTATGCATCTCCATGTGTCTCTATGTATCTCTGTTAATCTCTATGCATCTCCATGTGTCTCTATGTATCTCTGTTAATCTCTATGTATCTCCGTGTGTCTCTATGTATCTCTTAATCTCTATGCATCTCCGTGTGTCTCTATGTATCTCTGTTAATCTCTATGTATCTCTATGTGTCTCTATGCATCTCTGTTAATCTCTATACATCTCCATGTGTCTCTATGTATCTCTGTGTATCTCTATGCATCTCCATGTGTATCTATGTATCTGAATGTGTCTCTATGCATCTCCATGTGTCTCTATGTATCTCCATGTGTCTCTATGTATCTCTGTTAATCTATATGCATCTCCATGTGTCTCTATGTTTCTCTGTTAATCTCTATGCATCTCCATGTGTCTCTATGTATCTTTGTTAATCTTTATGCATCTCCATGTGTCTCTATGTATCTCTGTTAATCTCTATGTATCTCCGTGTGTCTCTATGCATCTCTGTTAATCTCACGGTGCTCGTGATGGTCCACCACGGTGCTCGTGATGGTCCACCACGGTGCTCGTGATGGTCCACCACGGTGCTCGTGATGGTCCACCACGGTGCTCGTGATGGTCCACCACGGTGCTCGTGATGGTCCACCACGGTGCTCGTGGTGGTCCACCACGGTGCTCGTGATGGACCATCACGGTGCTCGTGGTGGACCACCATTGTGCTCGTGATGGTCCACCATTGGAGGGTTGTCAGGTAAAAAATAGCATGTTAATGTGATAGATTATCATGTTAATGTGAGCGATTAGCGTGTTAATGTGAGAGATTATCATGTTAATGTGAGAGATTAGGGTGTTAATGTGAGAGATTAGCATGTTAATGTGAGAGATTAGCATGTTAATGTGATAGATTCTCATGTTAATGTGAGAGATTAGCGTGTTCATGTGAGAGATTAGCGTGTTAATGTGAGAGATTAGCATGTTAATGTGGTAGATTATCATGTTAATGTGAGAGATTAGCGTGTTAATGTGAGAGATTAGCATGTTAATGTGAGAGATTAGCATGTTAATGTGATCGATTCTCATGTTAATGTGAGAGATTAGCGTGTTAATGTGAGAGATTAGCGTGTTAATGTGGGAGATTGGCATGTTAATGTGAGAGATTTGCATGTTAATGTGAGAGATTAGCATGTTAATGTGAGAGATTAGCATGTTAATGTGAGAGATTAGCATGTTAATGTGAGAGATTAGCATGTTAATGTGAGAGATTAGCGTGTTAATGTGGGAGATTGGCATGTTAATGTGAGAGATTAGCATGTTAATGTGAGAGATTAGCATGTGAATGCGAGAGATTTACATGTTGATGTGAAAGATTAGCATGTTAATGTGAGATATTTACATGTTGATGTGAAAGATTAGCATGTTAATGTGAGATTAGCATGTTAATGTGAGAGATTAGCATGTTAATGTGAGAGATTAGCATGTTAATGTGAGAGATTGACATGTTACTGTGAGAGATTGGCATGTTACTGTGAGAGATTAGCATGTTAATGTGGGAGATTGGCATGTTAATGTGAGAGATTAGCGTGTTGATGTGAGAAATTTAACCTGTTGATGTAAAACCGGAGAGCCGAAAATAACAACTAACATCGGAAGGTGGTAGGATGGGAACATCACAGCCAGTTATGACCTAAACTGGTTGATGACGTCCTACCAATGATTGCTAAGTTTCTACCCATCTTCTCCGTTGAAATTGTGTCCGTACATATGGATGGCCTCGTCAACGAATCTTTGTTGATAGCCAGTGGGCTTGCAGAGAAATCCATTTCGTGTGAGCCCACCGCATTAAAACAATGATCAGCCACGGCCGAGGCATCGGTCCTACCGTGTTTCAGATCTACCTTCGTAGATGCTCGTCGCTAACAGAACTGCCCCAACAGTTCATCAAGGCTGTACCGGGGGGGGGGGGATCTTTCTCTCTTTGCGTCTCCAGCAAACGCCACTGAGGGAGACAAAGGCGGCCGGGCGTGGCGCTGGCCCACCCCACCCCACCCGCCACGTGCGCCACGGTGCACACCCTTCAAGGGCGCCGCTTGCCCCCGGCGGCCCGCCGAGGCTACGCAGGGGGCCGTTGCCTCGGCGCGTCTCCCACCTGCTCCTGGCCGAGCACGATGACCCCGCCGCCCGTGAGGGGTCTCCAGGGCGCGAGGCCGTCCCCGCTGCCCGTGCGGACCCCGTCGAGGAAGCTGCTCCACGCCCCGTCGCGGGCGCTCCACGTCACGCACACATGGTGCCAGGTGAGGCGGGGCACTCTCAAGGGGAGCAGCATCACCTGGAGGGACGCACAAATGCGTAGCGATGCCTAGCTATGCATAGAGGTACACAGATACGCATAGAGGTACACAGAGATACATAGAGGTACACAGAGATACATGGAGATACATAGCTATGCATAGAGGTACACAGAGATGCATAGAGGTACACAGAGATACATACAGGTACACAGAGATACACAGAGATACACAGAGATACATACAGGTACACAGAGATACATAGAGATGCACAGAGATGCATAGAGGTACACAGAGATACATAGAGGTACACAGAGATACATAGAGGTACACAGAGATACATGGAGATACATAGCTATGCATAGAGGTACACGGAGATACATGGAGGTGCACGGAGATACATAGAGGTATACAGAGATATATAGAGGTACACAGAGATACACAGAGATACGTAGCTATGCATAGAGGTACACAGAGATGCATAGAGATGCACAGAGATACATAGAGGTACACAGAGATACATAGAGGTACACAGAGATACATGGAGATACATAGCTATGCATAGAGGTACACAGAGATGCATAGAGGTACACAGAGATACATACAGGTACACAGAGATACACAGAGATACACAGAGATACATACAGGTACACAGAGATACATAGAGATGCACAGAGATGCATAGAGGTACACAGAGATACATAGAGGTACACAGAGATACATAGAGGTACACAGAGATACATGGAGATACATAGCTATGCATAGAGGTACACAGAGATACACAGAGATACACAGAGATACATACAGGTACACAGAGATACATAGAGATGCACAGAGATGCATAGAGGTACACAGAGATACATCGAGGTACACAGAGATACATAGAGGTACACAGAGATACATGGAGATACATAGCTATGCATAGAGGTACACAGAGATACACAGAGATACACAGAGATACATACAGGTACACAGAGATACATAGAGATGCACAGAGATGCATGGAGGTACACAGAGATACACAGAGATACATGGAGGTACACAGAGATACATAGAGGTACACAGAGATACATGGAGGTACACAGAGATGCATAGAGATACACAGAGAAACATCGAGATATATAGAGATACATAGAGATACATAGAGACACATGGAGGTACACAGAGATACACAGAGATACATGGAGGTACACAGAGATACATAGAGGTACACAGAGATACATCGAGATACATAGAGATACACAGAAATACATAGAGACACATGGAGATGCATAGAGATTAACAGAGATACATAGAGACACATGTAGATGCATAGAGATTAACAGAGATACATAGAGACACATGGAGATGCATAGAGATTAACAGAGATACATAGAGACACATGGATATGCATAGAGATTAACAGAGATACATAGAGACACATGGAGATGCATAGAGATTAACAGAGATACATAGAGACACACGGAGATGCAAAGAGATTAAGAGATACATAGAGACACATGGAGATACACAGAGATTAACAGAGATACATAGAGACACATGGAGATGCATAGAGATTAACAGAGATACATAGAGACACATGAAGATACATAGAGATTAACAGAGATACATAGAGACACATGGAGATACATAGAGATTAACAGAGATACATAGAGACACATGGAGATGCATAGAGATTAAGAGATACATAGAGACACATGGAGATGCATAGAGATACATAGAGACACATGGAGATGCATAGAGATTAACAGAGATACATAGAGACACATGAAGATACACAGAGATTAACAGAGATACATAGAGACACATGGAGATACATAGAGATTAACAGAGATACATAGAGACACATGGAGATGCATAGAGATTAAGAGATACATAGAGACACATGGAGATGCATAGAGATACATAGAGACACATGGAGATGCATAGAGATTAACAGAGATACATAGAGACACATGGAGATGCATAGAGATAAATAGAGATACACACAGATAAATTACTCTATGATGATGTTGATGACGATGATTACGATGATGCTGACGATGATTACGACGATGATGACTTGATGACGATGATGCTGACGATAATAATGACTTGATGATGATGACTTGATGACGATGATGACGACGATGATGATGACGATGATGGTGACGATGATTACGACGATGACGATGATGCTGCCGATGATAATTACGACGATGATGACGATGCCCCCCCACCTTGTCGTTGACCACCACCTCCACGCCGTCGCCGCCCGCCTCCATCAGGGTGAGCTCGTTGGGCTGCCCGGTCACGGCGTACGAGAGGATCGTTCCCAGGCCGAGGCCAGTCCGTCTGAGCCACGTGCACAGCGTGAATGCGTGCAGCTCGGGCAGCGTGGAGCGCACGCGCGCGTACATGTAGTTGGTGCGGGCGCTGAACACGAGACGTACCGAGTCGCCTGGGGTACACACACACACACGTGTACACACACACACGTGTACACACATACACGTGTACACACACACGTGTACACACATACACGTGTACACACATTCACACACGTGTACACACATACACGTGTGCACATACACACACGTGTACACACATACACGTGTACACACACACGTGTACACATATACACACATGTGTACACACATACATGTGTACACATACACGTGTACACACACACGTGTACACACATACACGTGTACACACACGTGTACACACATACACGTGTACACACACACGTGTACACACATACACACACATGTACACACATACACGTGTACACACACGTGTACACACATACACGCACGTGTACACACACATACACACACGTGTACACACACGTGTACACATACACACACGTGTACACACACACGTGTACACACGCGCGCACGTGTACACACATACACGTGTACACACATACACGTGTACACACATACACGTGTACACACATACACACACGTGTACACACATACACGTGTACACACACACACGCACGTCTACACACATACACACACGTGTACACACATACACGTGTACACACACGTGTACACACACACACGTGTACACACACACACGTGTACACACATACACGTGTACACACATACACGCACGTGTACACACACATACACACACGTGTACACACACACGTGTACACACACGTGTACACATACAAAGACAAAAATCTTTGTCTTTGTACACATACACACACGTGTACACATACACACGTGTACACACATACACACGTGTACACACATACACACGTGTACACACACACACACGTGTACACACACACGTGTGCACACATACACACGTGTACATACACACACGTGTACACACACGTGTACACACACACGTGTACACACACGCACACGTGTACACGCATACACACGTGTACACACATACACACGTGTATACACACGTGTACACACACACACGTGTACACACACACACGTGTACACACACACGTGTACACACATACACGTGTACACACATACACGCACGTGTACACACACATACACACACGTGTACACACACACGTGTACACACACGTGTACACATACAAAGACAAAAATCTTTGTCTTTGTACACATACACACACGTGTACACATACACACGTGTACACACATACACACGTGTACACACATACACACGTGTACACACACACACGTGTACACACACGTGTGCACACATACACACGTGTACATACACACACTTGTACACACACGTGTACACACACACGTGTACACACACGCACACGTGTACACGCATACACACGTGTACACACATACACACGTGTATACACACGTGTACACACACACACGTGTACACACACGTATACATACACACGTGTACACACACGTGTACACACACACGTGTACACGTATACACACCTGTACACGTACACGTGTACATATATACACGTGTACAGGCACACGTGTACATATATACACGTGTACACACACGTGTACACATATACACAACTGTACACACATATACACACCTGTACACACACACATGTACATATACACGTGTACACACACACGTGTACACATATACACACCTGTACACACACGTGTACACATATACACACCTGTACACACACACGTGTACACACACACGTGTACACACATACACACGTGTACACATACGTATACACACGTACAGACGTGTACACACACGTGTACACACACGTGTACCCACACACGTGTACACATATAAACACGTGTACACATATACATACCTGTACACACACACACGTGTACACATATACACACGTGTACACACACACACGAGTCCACACACACGTGCACACACACGTGTACACATATACACACGTGTACACGTGCAGTACACACACACACGTGTACACATATACACACGTGTACACGTGCAGTACACACACACGTGTACACATATACACACGTGTACACGTGCAGTACACACACACAAGTGTACACACACACGTGTACACACACACACGTGTGTGTACACATATACACACACCTGTACACGTACACGTATACATATATACACGTATACAGGCACACGTGTACATATATACACACGTGTACACGTGCAGTACACATATACACACGTGTACACACACACGTGTACACACACACGTGTACACACACACACGTGTACACACACACGTGTACACACATACACACGTGTACACACATACACACGTGTACACACACACGTGTACACACACACACGTGTACACACATACACACGTGTACACACACACGTGTACACACACACACCTGTACACACACACACGTGTACACACACACGTGTACACACACACGTGCACACACATACACACGTGTACACACACACGTGTACACATATACACACCTGTACACACACACGTGTACACACATACACACGTGTACACACACACACAACAACAACAACAACAACCGCCATTCGCCACTAAGTGGCGGTGAGGTCACGACGACGCTTGTGCCAGGCTATGTGCACCCTGAGGCCACGTGAAGTGTCGAACGCCCGCTGGCAGGAGGTCACGGGGCAGACTCAGGTGCCACGGGTCGACTGACTGAGATGACTGGCTGATGCACCACCTGTGCCCCCTACTGTGCCAACCTGCTGTGCTTTAGCCACCCGGCGCTCCGCTCGTTGTTCTGAGCGTCGCTCCTCCGCCCTCCGTTGTTGTTGGAGGGCGACTGCCTCCAACTGCCCAGTAGCATCCTTCACGAGCCTCCTCCACAGAGGCCGATCTTGACACCGCTGTTACCAGTCATCGGCAAGTCCACTCAGCTCCACGTCCTCCTGTACCACATCACTCCATCTCTTCTCTAGCCCGTGCCGCGCCCGCTTGCGGGCTACTTGACCCAGCCATCGCAGCCTTGCCTGCCGGAGGAGCTCACCGATGGGACCCTGCCCAGATCTTTCAAGGATTTGTGAGCTCCTCACACAATCCAGTCTGGTTAAACCCAGGATGGATCGTAGGCAGGCCAGCCTAAATGTTTCTAACCGGCGAAGATGTTCCATTAGGGGGGTCCACGTTTCGCAAGCGTAGAGAAGGGAGGGAATGACCGTGGGCGAGAAGACCTGAAGCTTAGTGCGGAGCGACAGACCAGGTAGCTTCCACACAGCTTTACGCAACCGATGAAAAGATATTGCCGCTCGACTGATTCGGAGTGAGACCTCTGCTGTTAAACTGGAGCCGGTCATAAGCACACTGCCCAAGTATGGGAAACTCTCCACTCTCTCCACAACTGCCCCATCACCGATTGGGCGTTGTGGGGGTGGAGTGTCCGATGGTACAAAATACCCAGGCAGGTGCTTAGTTTTGGTGGGGCTGATGGTAAGGCCCCACCTCTTAGTGGCACGCTCCAGTCTCAGCAGCAGCGTCTCCAACTCCTCCTCTGACTGAGCAGCTATTACCAAATCATCAGCATACATAACGTGGTTGAGCAATAGGGAGCCATCGCTTGACCGCACCCGGGCATCGATGAGCCTCCCATTATATCTGTACCATATGGAGATTCCCCCGGTACAGCTATTGAAGGCTTCACGAACTACGTGGTCAAAATAGATGTTAAATAATGTGGGAGCCAGAGGACATCCCTGTCGCACCCCAAGGTGTACAGGGAATGGCTCTGACTCCCGGCCACGTAGTTTTATCCGGGCCCGCTCACCATCATGAAGGTCCTTAATGATCGTGAGCAGAGGGTCAGGTACTCCAAAAGCACAAAGAACGACCCAGAGCCCAGGCCTACTGATGGTATCATAGGCCTTGACCAGGTCAATAAAGCAGAGATGTAGGTCTTGTTGGAATTCCCTACACCTCTGCTGTAGCAGACGGACAGAAAATATGGCATCTGTGCAGGACCGCCCTTTCCTGAAACCGCATTGGGGCTCCGCAAGCCTCTCCTCAGCGTGCCTGGTAAGGCGATGCTGAATAATCCTTGCCAGGACCTTTCCCGGCACACTGAGGAGTGAGATGCCCCTGTAGTTGTTACAGTCTGTGCGGTCCCCCCTCTTAAAAAGGGGGACCACCAGGGCATCCTTCCAATCCTGCGGAACCCGTCCAGTGGTCCAGACAACACACACACACACGTGTACACACACACACACGTGTACACACATACACACGTGTACACACACGTGTACACACATACACACGTGTACACACACGTGTACACACATACACACGTGTACACACACGTGTACACACATACACACGTGTACGCACACACACGTGTACACACATACACACGTGTACGCACACACATGTGTACACACATACACACGTGTACACACACACACACGTGTACACACACACACGTGTACACACACGTGTACACACACACGTGTACACACATACACACGTGTACACACACGTGTACACATATACACACGTGTACACACACACACGTGTACACACACACACGTGTACACACACACACGTGTAAACACATACACACGTGTACACACACGTGTACACGCACATGCTCGTACTGTCTATCGTGTGAAGCAACATCTGTTGTACTGTACTTCGCTGCTCCCTCGTCTGCGGCCACCCGCGATGACCAGAGTGGTGAAGTATGGTCAATAACTCACACGAGCTGGCCCGCATCCAGTCGTGGATTGACAATAAGGGCTGGGACATGTCTATTACACGCGTGTGCGTGTGTGTGGTGTAGCGGTCCCGGGTCTCCCCTAGGTCGACTCAGCCTCAAATGAGTACCTGGTGTAGCGGTGCGGTGTGTAGCGAACATCGCTAGCACTGGGGAGACAAAGGCGGCCGGGCGAGGTGCTGGCCACCCACCCCCTCGTGTGCCACAGTGCCGGCCTTCATAGGTGCTGCTACTCGCTAACAGCACTTGCCCCAACAGTCTGTTAAGGCTACACGGGGGATCTTTGTGTGTGTGTAGTTGCGATTTTTGCGGCAGATATTATTTTAACCCTAATAAGCAATATTT